GTTTCAAAGGGTTGATCATTTCATAGGGCCTCTGGTCCATTCATAGGCTCTGGTCCATTCATAGGCTCTGGTCCATTCATAGGCTCTGGTCCATTCATAGGGTCTCTGGTCCATTCATAGCCTCTGGTCCATTCATAGCCTCTGGTCCATTCATAGGGGCTCTGGTCCGTCTATAGGAGCTCTGGTCTCCTTCCAGACTTAGTCGTTTTAGCACAACAGCATCTTCAGATCTTCTATCTTTGGCCCCGATTGCTTTGATAAAACTATTAGAATAATTAGGATCAATTTTGGTCCTAACAATCAATAAATTATATTTTATTGGAGATTTTATAAAATTGGTAACTTGGGGTTTCTTAAGTGAGATGTTACATTTGACCAAACTTTGAATGTTTGACTATTTCTCTCATCTCTCCTCTCAATGTTCTTGAAGAATATCCAAATCTACCATTGATTCTTGAAGGTTTAGATTGAAGATTGATCATAGAGGACTATCACTGAAACTTGAGCAAACTTCACACACATGTAGACAAACATGTAATCACTGAATGCCATTTCAGATCACGAACTTGCTGGTCTCTAATCTTTAGCTTCTGTCTTCGACATCGCTGAAAGATTTGTGGTATGAGTTTTATCTTTTTGAAGTATAACAGTCTCTGAAGGAGTTACAATACATGTTCAGCAATCATTGAACAAACTTAGTGAAGATCGTTGAAACTGAATAACAGAAATACTATACTTTGTAAGGTAAAAGGGGATCATCATCAAATCAATGAGAGAGAGGATCAACACATTCCATCAACAAGTGTTGATGTTCTTTAACGGGTATTTTGTTGATTCAATGTATGAAAGAGATGGTTTGAATCTAAATCTTTTGAATCTAAGATTGAAAATCCATTGGATTTAAAGATTGTAGATGTGATGAAAAGATTGATGCTAATTTGAAGAATTCGGTGTTGAGTTACTGACTTGTGTTGACTTATCCGTGAAAGATTCTTTGAATGATTGAATCAAAATTTGTTTAAAAAAAGTTTTTGACAAAATTGGATTCTTTCATGATAATAATAGTAATGAGCTTAGTACACGTATTGTCAAATCTTAAAGCCTAAATGTCTAAAACTTATTTATTGACTGAAAAGGATTTCTTGAAGATTTGTTGGTTGTTGAAGATTCTAAAAGAAAGCATCTGAAGATTCTGAAGATTATTTCAAGATGAAGATGTTGATGTGAAGGGTGTTTGTTAAAAGGGGAAATTGTTATCTTTTTAGATTCATTTGATTCAAAAGTCTGATCATCTTTATTGAGGGAGATTGCTGAAATCAAAGATTGATTGAAGTAAAAACAAAGGGATTTGTTTTAAAGAATTGATCTCGAATACAAATGGGGAGATTGTTAGGTCAAATATTATTGTATCCGAGATCACGGAGCTTAAAGACTGAAGAGGTCAAAGCTTAAAGCCAACATAGTCAATAGAAGTCAACATTGTGCTTAATTGTAGTTTGACTTGTATGTTTAGTCAATCACATAAATTAACTTTGTAATAGTAATTGTTAGATAGATGCGTACATTGAGAATCTAGCTTTGAGAGAGAGATTGTAAAGAGAGAAACATGTATTGAGAGGGTTTATCAATATACATGATGATCTGAGCTCAGATTGTTGTTCTTGATTGTTTAATTTATTATTATCTGATTTAAACTAAGATTATCAATCACACATACTAGAGGCGTGGTTGAGGTTGTAGCTACCAAACGGAAGTGATAGAAGCTACTAGGTTCGATTAATACTACTCTAAAGGAAGAGAAGAGGAAGGCAGAACCATTTATTATCCATACAAAAGGCCTCTCACAAGATTTTCTCTAAATATAACTGTGTCTATGAATCATCACTAGAAGACTCTTTGAAGTTAATATCGCTTCTAAAGAAGAAAAAATCTCAAATGAACTATAACAGTGCATTTGAGTCGATTGACAAATCATACATGCTCATTGATGATATATTCACATTCACTGTTGCTCATAAGAAGATAAATCACGATGGTATCGAACCATGCTCAGTTGAAGATTTGTCAAAGAAAAAAAATACCAAAGGGCCTTTGGCCTAGAGATATCATAGCTACTTAGAATCTAATTTTTAGATGAAAGATCTAGAGAAAACTTAGTTTTCTACTAGTTATTTGAACTAGGACACTAAGCTTGTGTAATATTGATCCGCCTATTTGCATATGTCCATAAAATGATCAAGAAATTTAATATGGACAAAGAGCATACATCTAGCACACCCATGATTGATTGAAGTGTTGGATATAAGAAAAGTTCCATTTCGTACAAAGGGTGATGACGAAGAGGTGTTGAAAGCTGGAAATCTGTATCTAAGTACAATAATACACCTATCATACTTACCATAAGAAGCACAACTGTATATTGTATTCTCAATAAACTTGTTAGTTAGATTTAGCTTAGTGCCAACACAATATTATTAAAAAGATACCTAAAGAAACCATTGAATTGGGTTTCTTCTTTTTCTACATAGAGAAAAGTGGAATTGATAATGAAATTTCAATACATATAGACAATGTAAGAGACAAAGTATCAACCCTTGTACAAAACACCAAACAAATGTCTTGTTAGTTTTCTTTGGATATTTGGTACCTCACTAACGCATATAAATGTTTTTCCCAAACTGGATAAAGATTTTTCAGGGGAATACAACGATTGTATTGATTTCAACCAAGCAGACGCTTGTAGCTACCTTCTCGAACCATTCTCAGATTTATTGCTCTATGTGAGACAAGTTCAACCAAGCAAACCCTTATACATGCATATATGAAGATAATGCAGCTACTATAAAAAATGAAAGTATGATATATCAAAGGTATTGATACATATCATATTTTGGCAAAGTTTTCTATAACCAACAACAACAAATTCTCCTCATTATTCAAGGGAATCAAGTAAGGTTCGAGAAGAATGGGGTAGATTTGTGTACCAGATCATTGCCAAGTCTACATTTGAGAAACATTGAAATGCAAAGACATTCTAAGCTCCCTTGATTGATGTAGAAATCAGGGGGAGTAATAGAGAAAATGAATTGTCTACTAAACATGTTCTATTAATGAGTTGTGTTCTTTCCTTCGCTCAATGTTTTATTTTTCCCACTAGATTTTGTTCCTTGCTGTAAGGTGTTAGTGAGACAACAATTTATATATTATCTTGTTTTTTAAACCTTTTGATTGATGGACGAATAAAGAAGGATAGTAAACTAAATAAATTATTTACTGGTGTCTTGTATTTTTTCATTCGTCTAAAGTTCTTATTTTTTCACTGACTTTGTTTCCTTACGTCGTGTTCTCGAATTTGGTAAGAAAAAAAATGAAAAGAAAAGAAAAGAAAGGGACGAAAAAGAAAAGAAGGGAAGATAATTTTTTTATTTGTGTTTTCGAAAGGAAAGAAAGAGGAAAGAAAGGAAAAAAAGAATTTTTTTTCATGTTATTGAACAGAAGTTTATAAAATATACCCTTAAAAAATATGTCATTTATTATAAAATGTTGGGTAATTTTGTAATATAATAATATGTTTATATGATTTTTAATTTCTTTCCTTCATTTTTCTCCCACATCTGGAAGGAAAGTTTTGGGATGATTAATTTTCTTCCATTTCTTTTCCTTTCCCTTCTAAAAAAGTTTCGAGAACATAAGGTTTTTTTTACTTTCCTTCCCTTTCCCCTCATTCCTTTCCTTTCTTTGGTCAAAAAAGGTTTTGAGAATATAAAGTTAGCGTAAGATTTGAATAAGACAAAAATTATGCACCATTACTAGTTAAACTTGACATAAAAAAGGAAGTGTTAGAAGGATCATATACCGGGTAAGTGCTTATCGGTAAAATTTAATACTATTATTACTTACCGGGTAATATTTTAATCCATCAAAACGACATTGTATACAATAATTCACCCGGTAAGCTCGCCCTTACTTACCGGGTAAGACTCATGGTCCTTGTCTCGCTATTACCGGGTAAGATTCTTAGTCCTTATCATATTCATCCGGTAAGGTAATGTGACTTGGTAAACGACTCAGATAAGTGTTTGGTAAACGGCCCTAAATAATGGAAAAAATTAGTTTCCATGTTTTAGAATTTACCAAAGGGAAAATTGCATCAAAATGGAACCGAATTTCACCTAATTCTTATTTTAGAGAAACAACTTTCAAAATCGTCATTTTGGGGAACCAACATGCAAAATAATTATAGAAAAATAACTAAAATTCGTTTTTTTCCCAAAAGTTAATGCAATAAAATCTATTTTTCATTTCAAATCTCATTTTTTTTAATTCAAATATCAAATTGAACATTTAAAAAAAAAATCCAAATTACCACAATAAAAATTGTTTTTCACTAATGCAAAAAAAATCAATTTAATAGAAAAAAATTAATTGATGTAATTGGTTAGATATAAAAATCTTGAATGTGATATTTAATATTTATTTTTTATTGCATCAATTAATTTTTTTCTATTAAATTGATTTTTTTTGTATTAGTAAAAAGCAATTTTTATTGTGGTAATTTGGATTTTTTTTAAAAAATGTTCAATTTGATATCGGAATTATAAAAAACGAGATTTGAAATGAAAAATAGATTTTACTGCATTGATTTTTGGAAAAAATGAATTTTAGTTATTTTTCTAATAATTATTTTATAAGTTGGTTCCCTAAAATATGAATCAGATGCAAGTTGGTTCTCCAAAATGACGATTTTTTAAGTTAGTTCCCCAAAATAGAAATCAAGTGCAAGTTGGTTCCCCAAAATGACGATTTTGAAAGTTGATTCCCTAAAATAGAAATCAAGTACAAATTAGTTTCCCAAAATAAATATTTTAAAAATTGATTCTCAAAAATAAAAATTAGGTAAAAATTGGTTTATTTTGGTTCAATTTTCCATTTACCAAAATGTTGTTTTTATTGTAAACTCATTTTCATTCAAATAGGTAGAGGGACGCTATTTGTAATTTGTGTTTCGAGCAGATAAATCATTGCAAGAGCAAGAGGCATAGTAGAGGCCACGGAGGGAAAAACAACATAAAAGAGAAGGCAATCATGGTTTACATACGCTGAAGAATCATCGACGGACCATCGTTCAGCTACTAATTTTAACAGAGAATTATGCTGGATTTGACGAAGTAAACCTTAATAAAGTATCTGGGGTTTATTTCGATCTGAAAAACTTCAAACAATAGGAAGAAGAGGCTATGGATTGCTCATGGAAATCAAGAAGCAAAAGAAGATTGAAAAAGAACTAGAGGCTATCCATGAAACCAATCGCAATCTCAAACTCAGTTTCATCGTCACTTTTTGTATCGCCATACGCTAATGGTTGTGCTTCATCTTCCAAGATTGTTGCCCAGAAGAATAAGAATTCCCAGTCTCCTAAGGTGAGAGTTTTCCAGTTTTTTTCGTTTTTTACTGCACTGGATGTTGTGAAATCATACGGCTGTCACAAATGTTCTTACAGATTATTATTTGCTTACCACTATTCTTAAAGCTTCTTTGCCTCTCAGCAACTTGTTGAATTTCCAGCATTGTATACTTCTAAATTAAAGAGTGTGTCATTTGAGTCATTGTATTTGGTGGTATAGATATGGTCAATATGTCTTCATTTTAGTTTGAAATTTAAGAATGGATGGCTTGATAAAATACAAGATTATTTAGGGTTTTTTGTTGGATGGAATTTGTGAATTCATTTGTTACTATAGACTATATACTCTTTGAGATCAGAAGTAACTGGTTTTACTTTGTCCTTTTGGTTCTGTTTTTTTCTAGGCTCTTTTAATTTCAAGTGTATTAAGTAATAGTGTGGCAACTGCTCGGTAGAATGAACCTAGATCATACTCCTTTCACAGACACCATATCGCCAGCAGTAGCAAAGCAACATTATGTAGTTAAAGGAGAATTGACTAACTATATCAGATTAAGGACACTATTCAAGATTAAAGTGATGAGAAATGAATTCTAACATCCCTTGCCACCCCGGGTGAAATCCTCTTTTCAGAGAATAAATAGAGATTATGTCATGTTTCTCAACTCCCCTTCTGGAATTATTAGTTATGGTTTAGCTTTTGGCAGCGCCAATCAATGTTCTTGATTCTTGTTAGAGAAAGTAGTCCACGACGATAACAAGTTGTATACAGAAATGAAATTTAGTACTTGAAGCTTAGCTTATGAATGGTTACATCAGGGTTGGAAAGGACTAGCGTTACTACTTGCTCCTGGGCGTGCCCCTATCAGATGGTGGACACTCAAAATGCAGTATTTCTAGGGAGATGAGAATTTTTTTACAAGTGTACTTATATATGCAGTGCAGTAACAATGCATCAAATGGGTTGTTTGTTCACAAAATAATTTGTTTGTTTGTTCATAACCTTACGACTTACTCCAAGGCTTGCCCATATTTGACTTCAGGCAGTCTGTTAATTCTAATACAAGAGCTGCTAAATTCTGAGACCCAAGTTATTAGAACATGAGTGTGCCTAACCATTCTTTCAAATTTCCAATTTAGAAGGGATGCACGAGGAATGTAGAAGAACGTAGTTGTTTTCTCAAAATTCTTTTTACAACGATTACTTTGGCAGTTGGTGGCAATTTCCACACTACTTCAATTCAAAAGACGTTAACTGGAGTTGCAATTAAGAGATAATTTCTCTTTCATTCATTTATCAAAATGAATGATAATCGGAAGCATGTTGACTTTTAGTTTTGCCAAGAAGAAAGGGGGGGGGACCCAAATGTCGTCGGCAAGAGCCTTCCCCTCTTCCCGGTCAAGATAGATTGTTTGTATTGCAATATTGATTCATTTTCATGCTTCTCAAAGATTAAGGGAGGTTTGATTCATTTGAATGGAATGGAATTGGAAATAGGTATAATAAGGAATGATAATGTTGGGGAATGAAAAGTCATTCCCTCATTTTACTGGGATATCGATGATTACCCACCTTGTAAGTAATCACTCATTGCATTATTTTTAACCATGTATCATTATTCATTCCTGTTCTCATTCCTTACTCCCTAATACCTCCAACCAAAGACCCCCTTAAAAGATTCTGTCAAAAGATTCTGTCAAAAGATTCTTCCCATGCCTGGAGATGGACTGCAACCTAATCTCTGTTCCTTTTAGACCTTCTTTCATGAGGATTGTATTGTATATTTGCAATAATGTGGAGGAAGTGAATGCGTTTTAGGAACCTGCTTATGTATGATCATAGAAAACATTTTCTTCTAGCGGACTAGTGTATCCCCTGTGTGGGTTTACATGATGGTTGGGACCATAGTTGTTAAAAGCGCACTTGAGGCGCGCCTAGGCTTTGAGGCTCATAAGGCTCAAGGTCTTGTGAAGTCACGAGGCTCATTAAAGGTCTGCGCCTTGGTTGAGGCGCCTTGTGGGCCTAGTGCCCCTCATAAAGGGTTATTAAATACCTAGTCAAACCCTAATATTGGATAAGTTTTCTCATCTTCTATAGTTACTAAATAGATGAAGCAAGTCAAAACCTAATATTAAATACTCAGTCCTTAGAACTTCAAGCCTTCTTCCCTCTGCCTCTATCGAAGTGCTGTTGGTTGCTGCATTGGGGGCTCTTTTTTTTTGATTAACCTGGATATCCAACCCGCTATGCGAGCCGATTAATCCCAGGGCGACCACTTGCTTTGCAGATAGCCTGGAGTCACCGCGTTTGAACCTCCGTGGTCACAAGGGGATTTTTATTCCTCTTTGGATTTGAACTTGGGATCTCCAGGTACTTTTTGACCTTTGGAGCCAGACTCAAACCAATCAGGCACCACCCTTGTGGTTACATTAGGGGCTTTTACTTGTCGCATATTTGAGTTGTGTATGACTATGTATGTGTGTGTATATATATACTAGAAGTGTACCCGCAAATGCAACGCGATGCATCTCGATTTAATGTATATGTTATTCGTTGTCTCTGTCAAATTTGTAATATAGTTTGTGTGATATTGACAAAGCGGGATACATCTCAATTTTAATGCATGTCTTATTCTTTGTCCCTGTCGATTTTATAATACAGTTTGTGTGATATTGAGGAAGGCGGAATATTTTCTGTTATTTTTCAACTTTATGGAGTATTTTGATGTTGAAAATTCTCATTTTTTGTATAATTTGCTTACTTCAATTTTTTATAATAATTTAATTTATTTCAGTTTTAGTAATGTAATGTTTTTTATAAAGATAATGATGAAGTATTCTGAGTTCAATGATTATCTTAATTATATTTTAGATATTTTATATATAAAATAGAAGTGTTTATCCTGTATTATTATGTTTATCAGTTAGTTATATTAATTCAAACATGCAGCTTTAAAGAGTTGTACTCATGCACTATTTACTTGTAATCTTGAATTTTAAGTAATATCATGAAATTTTAAGTAATATGCATAAAAAATGGTTCTAAGACTTGACCTTAAAATTCTTTATAATATAGTATAGATATATTGATAAGATGTGGGAGGTGAATAACACCCTCCGACGAAAGAGTCCATCTCGCAAGCATTTTTGATCTACATAAGCCAACGCCCATAGCACTGTCGACGTCTCCGGCAGCTTTCTTGAGGCCCATGCTTCATGCCTGCGCCTCACACCTAGGCCCCGGGACCCCTTTGCACCTAAGTGTGCCTTGAGCCTTTAACAACTTTGGTTGGGACAAAGAAACATTTGGTTGTGAATTCGAATGTGTCAAATATCTGCACAGCAATTAATATTTCAAGTCAAACACTGCTCTGGGCTTATCTAGAAGAAAAACCTTTTGGTAGAATCTTTTTAAATGCATGACCTTCTGACAGATTTCTAGACATTCTTGTGTTAGAAAGAGGCATTCTTTTGTTAGAGTCTGGGTCATGCATTTAAAAAAAATCTATCAGAATGTTATTCTTTTACCATGAAGGACCTTTACAAATTGTTTTTTCAGAATTTATAAGACACAGGTTAATTTACTGATTTAGTACATCTTGAATTAGTTGGTAATGATACCGGCAAAATTATTTTTCCAAAAGAATTAAATATGTTTTAAAGTGATGAAGAACTTTTAAATTTAGACGACCAATTGTATTTGTCTAAACAGATTTCTGATCAAGAATATATTTTTTATGATAAAGACAAAAATATTCATGTCCCATTTTTCCGTTGAAAAATTCCTTTCAATTATTAATGTCAAATAAAAATGTTGCAGATCTCAAGGGAAACACCAAAATACATGTCTTGTCTGTTTACTTGAGTAATACAGCAAGTGCCTGAGTTCAATGGCCCACCTTAACTTCTTAGAGCATCTTCAACAAATTCTCTGTAACTTCTCTAAAATAGAGAACCAAAAATCAAAATCTCGAAAAAAATTATATTCAACTCCAACAGATTCTTTAGTTTAGAGATTTCATTGATGATTATATTATTTAAATATTCCATGACTTTATGATCCCAATACACTTTTAAAAGAAAACTTTATATAAAATAATATTATCAAATCTCATTGGTGGAATGAATAACAAACTCATTTCTCTATCCTTTAGTGAGTTTTAGAGAATTCTCTATATTTGGAGTTTTATCTATGCTTCTCTATTTTAGAGAACATGATAGAGAATTTGTTGGAGCAATATAGAGAAGAACAAAAACTCCATTTTCTCTATTTTAGAGAATCTGTTGGAGATGCTCTTATACATATAATTGGGTTACCCTCTTTTTGACCATAATTGTTGGTATAAATAACTCATGTATCACAATAAGTTCTTTCTTTAACAACCTTTTTTTTCAATAGGGTTCTGAACCACCTGCCAGGATTACATCAAATGTCAAGCAGAATTTGCAGTTCTTGAGATTATGGAAGGTGACTTACAAAATGGTGGTCATATTCATTTTCCAGAATCAAGTGTGTACCATCTGTTAAAATTTGAATGAAACTTTGTACTTATAGGAGTATCAAAAGAGGAAATCTAGCACACCCAAGCCTGCTACTAGTTACCGTAAGAAGAAGGTGGAGAAAGACGACCTTCCAGATGATGATTCCGAGCTCTATCGTGACCCTACTTTGACCCTTTATTAGTAATTTTCTTTCCCGGTCTTGTTTTTGATACAAATTTGTACACTTAATTCATCTGGGTTGGGTTCACGTGAGATCAGGCTGTTTTTGTGAGACCCGTGAGACCACATTTTTACACTTGAAACTTCACAGCAAAAACACTCTGAAAGTTTAAAAAAGTCGAACCTTCACAGCAAACACTGTGAAGGTTACCTTCACGGCATTTTGCTGTGAAGTTTCAAGTGTAAAAAGCTGGTCTCACGGGTCTCACGAAAACAGGCTGGTCTCACGTAATCCCAAGACTAATTCATCTAAATCAAATAACTAATTGGAAAAGCATCAGAGATTTTCTAAATTATTGAACAGTACAAACCAGGGTGTAGACACTGCCGTCCCTGTGTTGCTTGTTGATGGCTATAATGTCTGTGGCTATTGGCCGAAGCTCAAGAAACATTTCCTGGGTGGAAGACTTGACCTTGCTCGCCAAAAGCTTGTTGATGAGCTGATAACCTTTGGAATGCTAAGAGGTTTGTGTTATTTTATACTATATGGCACTCATGTTTCTGCCGGAAAGTTGAGTTATTCATCAAATGATTGTTAAGCAGCTTGCACAACAGCAAGTGGGTCTTGATCAAAGGATCCAAAGAGAATGTATATAGACAAGAAATGAATTATTTCACAATTTGTACATTGAATATGCAAAAATAAGTTAACGTGAAAGCCTAGGACTTATCAATTTTATGCATCAGAAAAATAGTTTGTTGTGTGCCTCATATCTCTCTCAGAATCATAGAGCTTAGGTTTATTTCTGTTTTTAGTCTGATAGAATAGGAAGGAGTTTCACCGAATGGACCAATTAACATAGAATAATGTTGGCCCGCTTTCGAGAGGTAGGCTGCTTGCCCATGATGCACAATTTAATTCTCGAGTATTCTGATCAAATTAAGCGTAGCCCTTTAATTATGGAAAAAGCAAAGTCGCCTTTGAAATAATTAATTCTAGAGCCCTTTAATCCACTAGCTCTTCGATCTTCTTGGTTATCTCCAGTTTGAGAAAAGCCAAAGGAGTTTTATGGGGCGGAATAATTAACATCGAACAATGTTGGCCTGCTTTATTTTCTGGAGGTATGCATCTCTTACACTATGCTTAATTTAGTTCTAGAGTATGATCCAGAGTATGATCCAACCAAGCTTCTCCCCTAATTTCTCTTAATCCCTTCTTATAGAACCCCCTTAATTATGGTAATACCAAAACTTGCTTTGTAACTAATTAACGCTAGGCTTACGCCCACTGTTCGAAAAGGCTCACCGGAACAGCTGCCATGGCGCGCCATGGCGTGCCATGGCTCAAGGCTCTTGTCTCACGCCACGTTAAGCCTGAGGCACGCCATGGCGTAATCCGGTGTTTTTGTAACACAATATTTGATTTTACTTGTCTTTTTAGTTTCTTATTTGTTAGTTTTTAGTATATAACTTAATATAAATTGTTTATTATCATTGATTCATTGAGTAACAGTAGAAAACATATGTTTATGTATATAACATTATATATGATATAGAGATTTGCCGCCATAAATCATGCCTTGAAAAACTTCGTGGCCTCGCCATGGCTTCCAAGGATTGAGGCTTGGCCTCGCCGCCACGCCACACCTCACGCTATTTGGAACCTTGCTTACGCCTAAGGTGACCAACTAGCTATGTAAATTGCAAGTTTTCATCTTCTATTTGTTTTCTGTAAAAGAAAGAGCCCTTCCGTATCCCCATGCTCATCCCTTGTTAGTCAATAAGGGCCTGTTTGTTAGCTGCTTAATGAGCTTATGGGACTCGCAACTTATTGGGTCAGCTATACATGACAGTTTGGTAGTGGCTTAATGATATAGAAAGTGGCTTAAGTAAACTTCTAGGGGAGAGCTTTATGCAGAAATCCAAGTTTTTTCCAAAACTGCCCCTCCCAAATTAAAAAACATGCACCTTCATCCATCTATAAAAAACCCTCCCAAACAAAAACCTTCCCAATCTATTCAGACAAATTAATCTGCACAGACAACTTCATCCATACACACCAACCAAACAGCCCGGGGTGTATACCCTGCCACATCCTCCATGAACTATACCTTCAAAGTACTCGATGCAAGGATTTGGCTGATTCTTACCTTCACCAGAGTAATAGAACTTCCATGTAAAATGAAAGAAAAGAAGAAATGTCTGGAGAGATCCGAGTTAGTGAGTTCTACTCCATCGAACACTCAAAATATGTAGTAATATCTTCGTATAGTGTGTTATAATTGTCCAGATATCCCAAGATTGGCCTTGTCGGGAATGCTTTAGTGGTTGGATTAATCTTGTACTGATTGACACCATTTTCTCTCCCAAAAAAAAAACAAACTCTTTAGAAGTTTATGGTTCTCCAGTTGGTCACTAAACTTATAACAGTCCAGGATGGGCGAATGTCTTCTGCAATCAAATTTTTTGAAGTGTTAGTAGAACCACTCCTGTTTTACACAAAGGGACACTGTTTGCATTCACAGGTCCAATAAACTAACTTTTAATTCTAAAAATTGCTAAGAATTCTTTAAATTTTAGTGAAATATTGAAGAAACTATATTGAACTTCATCACATACTGTATATTTATAGAAAATTTAGAGTTAAATTTGTAATTAAATCCATTCAAGTTTAAGTTTTAAGAGTACTACGCATGACCTTAAATCCTAAATTCTTTCTTCTATTGGATTGGGTGGAAGAATACTGTTAGTTGTTTGGTTGCTAGCTATTTCTTGTATTCTCAAAATGTTATTTTCATGTTCTCAAATTATGAAAATGTCTTCCCACTGAAAATTTGTGCAGAATGATATCTTGCCTTTGTTATTTTATACTTGTTTTCACACGGAAAATTATTTTACATTGCTTTATTTGTCCTGTTTTTATCTTACTTTGCCTTATTGCCTATGGACTTTTACAGAGGTGAAAGTGGTGGTTGTTTTTGATGCTATGCTGTCTGGGCTTCCCATGCACAAAGAAAATTTTGCTGGGTATCACTCATAACCTAATATTTAGTACTCTTGCTGCCTTTTTTGAGATTTTTAATTGTCCACTAGATGGTGTTGCATAGTGAATAATGGTATGAAGTCCACAGATTCTTAGTACATGGCTCCCAATTTTTTTTTGTTGGTAATGATGTATATGAAATGAATAATAAGTAATTGTAAACATGTTTCCCTTTTTGGCTTCTGCTGTATATATACTAGCATTACCTATATATTCAAGATGCATCTTAATTATATTCATTACCTTCTGGTTATATTTTTCTGTTTTAATTTTTTAACAAAATGTAGTCGTAATTAGAGGTTGTCTGCTGACTACATTGGCCGAGCTTCAACATTTAACTTTTTTGTGTTTTTGGGATACTTTCAACGAGTTCCGATGCATTCTGACATTTTATATTTTGCAGTGTTGATATAGTTTATTCAACTGAAACCTGTGCTGACGCATGGATAGAGAAAGAGGTGAGTAGTAATATATGATTTTGTTGTTACTACTAGACCTATAAATTGATATTGTGTTACTCACAGCCAATCAGTTATAATTGGATGTGGCACATGTTCATATACATACATATGTATATATATATGTGTGTGTGTGTGTGTGTGTAAACAGAGAGTGAGGGAGGAAAATTCAGTTGCCTGATTCCCATTGCGAACCAAGGAACGAATGAGAGCTCGACATGTGTCCCTATTCAAGTATTCATCATGAATAATGAATGTGAATATTTAATAACATTTTTGGTGAAATTCTTACTAACATTGATGATGAATGTTACACCATTCATGATGTATATCCCATGAATGTCCGGACACATGGCATGATCTCGTTTGTCTCCCACTTCGCAACCGAACCTGCCCTTATATATATGTACATAAAGGGGTGGGTTCAAATGAGAGACAAATTCATTGAGAACCCAGGGAACCAGCTATTCATGATAAATAACTTAGTATAATGAAAATTCATGATGAATGTTGTGATAGATATTCATGACGAAAATTATGCATAAAGAAAATACATGATATTAATGATAAAAATACATAAAATTAATGATTAAAAAACATTAAATCACAAATAATGAAAATGCATGATATTAGTGAGATATTCATGATGAATAATATTCATGATTATTTAGTATTACTTTGTTATACCGTAGGTAGTGGGTCAAATAGTCAGATATGGTAGGCTAAAGTACAATTGCCTAATGCACTAGTACAAGTAGTAATGCAAGAATTGTACTTAGTGGCGTAGTATAAATAGGGGGTTTTGGTCATTAGAGTTTATCGATCATTTTTGTGTGTTTCGGACGAGAGCCTCGGGAGACATCTGACAGTCTCAAAGTGCCTGGAAATCTATTGTAACCGTTCAATTTCTGTTCTTCCATATTGATTCAATTATGTGTTCATCAAATCATCGAGGGTACATCAACTGGTATCAGAGCGAGATCAAACCTGGAGATGACAAAAACCATTGTTTTGTGTGGTAAGAATCGGAGGGTGGCATCGGTTCTGTTCATAAAGGCGTGCAATTGTTAAAGGAAGATTTAAATTTTTGAGGAAGGATATGGAGATTGTGAATAAGATGATGAACAAACTAATCAAGCTTTATGATAAGCCGATGAAAATGAAGTCCACAAGATCTGAGCCATTGAAGAACACTAGGTCTGAGGAAGAAGCTCCTGAGAGGGTCTGGAATGTTTCCATTGTTAAGAGGGAAGAATGATTGGTTTAGAGCACAACCAACTTGAGTTGTTACCAAGGTTTTAAAGTACGGAAACGCGAGGCGAGGCGTTTTTCATTTGGTGAGGCGAGGCGTCAGCCTCGAGGCGGTACGAGGCGTAAGTGTCGAGGTGGAAAATAAATAAAACTAAAAATAATAAATCTGTACTCTAATTAATATGTATATATACATGGAAAATAAATAAAACAAAGAATAGTGTATACGCACTAATTAATATATATATGTATATATACATGCAAAAGTAATATATATACACACATAACTATTATGCACTGGGACACGATATAGAAAACAATACACAAAATATTATATATATAGGGTTAGATTCAGGGGAAAACCTCAAAAAAATGAAAAACTGAGTATAACATTCATCTTGAATGGTTATGTATTTTCATGTGTATTCAACAAATCTTTAGTATTCATACATTACTATGACATTCATCATTCATATACATTTTCATTATAACATTCATCATGAATATACATTATCTTTATTACATTCATCATGAATATATATATATATATATATGTTAACGTGTATACAATAACTCTTCAGTATTCATACATCAATATGATACATACTGTTCATCATGAATAATTATATATGTTCACGTGTATACAACAACTTTTCAACATTCATACATCAGTATGATATTCGTCATGAATATACAATTTCACTATAACATTCATCACTAATATGCATGCTATTTATCATGAATCTTTATATTTGTTCACGCTTATACAACAACTTTTCAGCATTCATACATCAGTATGATATTCGTCATGAATATACATTTTCACTCTAACATTCATCATGAATATTTATGTATGATCACGTGTATACAATAACTCTACAGTTTCAACTCTACATACATTAGTTTTTCTTTCTTTTTCTTTATTGGGTTATCTATTGATCTGGATGAGTTTCTGACTTGTCTCAATTGATTTCTCAATCCATCTCAATAAAAGTTAAAAGTGGTAGGTTATGATTTTACACAAATAAACTCACAATAAATTAATCTATAGGTTCTCAATTGGTCTTAATGAAAAATGAAGGTATTATGTTATGATTTTAACATACAACCACATACAAAGTCGATGGATAGGTTCTTGATTAGTCGTGATTGGTCTTGATAGGTCCCAATAGGTTGTCAATCGATCTCGATATGTTGATTGGTTTCGATGGATTCCCAATCCGTCTCAATAAAAGCTGAAAGTGGTAGCCTATGGTTTTACACACAAACAAATAATAAATCTTGATAGATTCTCGATGGAAAATGAAGGTGGTAGGTTATGGTTTAGCACACATAAACACATACCAAGTCAATGAATGGAGTCTCGATGGGTTCTCAATCCGTCTCGATAGGTTTTCGCTCGGTCTTGATGGGTTCTCGATCAGTCTCGATGGGTGTTGGATTATGGTGATGAAGAACGCTGTGCCTTACGCCGTTGAAGAAAGTGTTGAAGAAGGTGATGTTGAGTTACAAACTTATGGTGTCGAGCTGTTGTACACTTGAACGTACATAAATTTTCATAATGAATATAACACGTACCATTTCACGTAAAAAATGGTTAAAGTGGGGAAAAAGTATATGGAGATGGATGTCATATCAAAGAGCATAAAATTCTCGTTTTTTGATGTAATTTTTTTAATTAAAATATTAGTAATTTTTACGAAATATTATTTTAAACTGTAAGGGGGTAAAAGTTTTTAATTAAAAAAGAAAATAAAAAGTCAAATAAGGTAGGCGTGGGATTGAAATAACTTCCTTTTTTTACCCCTAATCACCTTAATTAATAAATATAATTAAAAACTCTATTTAATGTGAGTTGTTGGATCAAATAAGATGGAGGACCGAGATTGGTTCTCATGTTCACAAGCAAATGAACTTTCCTCTCTCTCTATATATATATATATCTATATATATGTCTATATATATATCTATATATATCTATATATATATTCATCATTGTGGATAGGAAGAAGGGAGTTAGGGAGGGTGAGGGTAGCAAGGGGGGAGGTTTAGATAGCTGGGAATAGAGGGGCGGTTTGCCGGTTTATGTGTGTTCTCTTACTTTGTTCGACTTTCTTTGTGCTTTCTTTCCTTTTCTTCAATTAATATTGCTTACTTTGTGCTACTCTTAACTATTCTTCTTGCTCTTGTCTTTTACTTTTCACTCTTACTTTTGCACAAGATGAGGGTTTTTCCAGAAACAGCCCTCTACCCACTAGAGATAGAGGTCAAGTTTGCATATATCTCACCCGTCCGAGACCCTGCTTTTGAGCGGGATATATTGGCTTGTTTGGTTATTTATCATTGAACTTATATTTCTCCAGTGTCTTCACTACCCTCAATGTGCCTCGTAGCTTGTATCCGCGTCTAAGCCTTAAACATGAACAAAATCATATGGGTGGGTATTGACTATTCATAAGGGACATTAGTTCTGTCTAATTGAACCCCCTCAGATATCATATTGGATTTTTGGATTCCAACTAAGTGGATACATCCCAAATCATTTTAAACTCCATCTAATTATTTGTATTTCCCCCCATCAACAACTTCGAAAGAAAACCCCTGTATATATTTATTTGTGGAAAACATAGGTTCCTTGCAATCTTACTATCCAAAAAAGAGATGTTCATTGACTTTTAATATCATATCCATCACCTTCTTTTTTTAAAGTTGATATGGATTTTGTTAAGAGCTTTTTTACAATGTTTTTATATTGGTAGCGTTTTTTCATATCATTTGACATAATCATAAATTTTTATGATGAAATCTTGAAGTTGGAACAGAGGAAATGGTTCTATATTCAATATAATCCTGAACTTTTTGAAAGGTTGCAGCCTTGAGGGAGGATGGTTGCCCAAGAGTATGGGTTGTCACCTCTGATCGTTGTCAGCAACATGCAGCACATGGAGCAGTATGTCTCCCCTCATAAATATGTCTTTTAGTAACATTTACAGTTTGTTTCCATCATTATCCTTATATTTCATCCATTTATGAGGAAGTAAAATCCATATCTTGTACTACATAACTTGCGTAGTGGGAGGTTCAAATAAGAAGGCTAAATATCATGAGAAGGTAAGAAGGGATGGTTAAGGAAAAGTTCACATGTGAATTGTTGAAAAAATCCATTTGAAGGTGCATATGTGAACCCATATGAATAATCTGTAACGTTGGTTCATTTATACATCTTCAAATAGATCTTTTTGGATTTTTTCAGTAGTTCACATATGAACCTTCCATTAACCTTCCCTTCTTACCTTCTCACGATATTTAGCCTTCTTATTTATCATTTATTGTTATTATTTTGTTCTTTGCAATAGTTAGAGTATCCACAATGGAAGCTTTTTTAAAGACTACAAAAGATCTTTGGCCACCTCGTATTTTGAAAAAGCCCTGACAAAAAAACTTACGTTTGCTTGTAACTGCACAAGCTTTCAATAAGTCATTTTACTTACCCACCTAATTGGGTTCCACATTGAAAAAGCTCTCAAGAACATGCATACCATTGTGGTCTGTGGATGCTCTTAGAATGCTTTCTGACAAGTATAATTTTGCTTTTAGGGAGCTTTTGTTTGGAGTGCAAAGGCATTGGTCTCGGAGGTACAACACCTGTTCCATATTCATGCTAAACTCCGACATGAGTCTTTGCACTTGCTTATTTCCTTAAACATTATGATTTTAATTTTTATGTGTTTGCACACACTTATAGACATCGTATACATACTCCCTTGGGATGTTTTAGTGTGTAGTTTTTTTCTTCTTTTTTCAAAGTTTTCTACTAGTAGACAGAATTCATTTCCCTTTTTTGTGTTTGTTAGAAGGTTCTTGATATCTGGTAAGTTACCTAACACATAAGGGCTGTTTACCAAATGCTTACCTGCAAGAGTCGTCACGCTCTCTTATCTTGTTAGGTAATATTCTTGGCCATCAAAATGTATTGTTTGCAAGCATCTCTTACCCGGTAAGCACGAACCGGGTAAGAACCTCGGTTGTTGCCATGCCTCTTACCGGGTAAGATTCTAGGTCCTAGCCATTCTCATCCGGTATGGTAAGTGACCCGCTAAGCGCTTACCCGGTAAGTGCTTGGTAAACAGCCCCTTGCATAAAAGATTTAAATGCACATCCAAATGTAATTTGAACCAGAAGCGTCAATATTTATCTTCCAATCCTTTTTAGAAAGCCACCGGTAAAATGTACCAATTAACATTATCTTTTTCCCTTCTTGCACTTGATAACATTCTACTTTTTGACTAATTCGTGCACCATCATTTTTATGTATTTCCAAGGGGTAAAATTTTCTTTTAACTCTCGATTTTTTTTACCATCTGTTTGTCTATCTGTCCCTCTTATATACATATCTCAATCTTTCTTTCTCTTCCTCTTTTATATATATATATATATATATTTTTTTTCCTTGTCTCTCTCATGTATATAATTTTCAGTTCAAATATCTTAAATTGTAGTTTCTATTTCTAGGTTACACATTCTTGTTTTTGCATTTTCGTAGATGAATGCACATAATAAGAAAACTGAATTACATGGAAATAGTCTAAACTCTAAAAGTTTTAGCCCTATTCAAAACCTGTGTAAATTACTTGTGTAATCCTTTTTGTATACTGGCTGGTCTTGGGGCCGTTTATCATACGCTTACTCTGGTAAGCGCTTACCAAATAACTTTACCTTGTCGGATGAATATGGCAAGGACCAAGAATCTTACCCGGTAAGATCGAAGTCAAGGACCTAGAATCTTACCCGATCACTGAGGGCGATGGGCCGATGGCTTTTACCACAGTTAGCACTTACGGGGTAAATTGTTGCATACAATGCTGTTTTGGTAGACTGAAATCATACGGTAAGTAAGTGATAGTGTTGAATTTTACCGGTAAGTGCTTACCGGGTAAGTGTTTAGGTAAACGGCCCCTTGGTTATTCTTTTCAAAAGGCTTTGTATTTTACCCTTTTTTCTCAAGAACTTGGCTACATCTCAAATGCTTCAAACTTTCAAAGCTTTCAGGTCTTCCCCAAAACTTTTTCGCAGACCAGGTTGTCTTTTTGGATTAATCCCCTTTTTGTGTTAGAGGAAAGGTCTGTAGATTTAATCCCATCCCAAAAACCCTAATTTTGATTGGGATATACTTGGTCTGTTTGGTTTTGTTGCCAGATACTTTGTGGAGTACCTCCCCAGACCCTACCTCTTTGTGGGATGAACACATCGAGGTTGACTGACCACAACAGATCTCCCTAATCCACATTTGGAACTGAAGTAGCTGATTCAGATCTATTTCATTTGTGGCAAGTTAAGTATGGCAGATATTTATGCTGCAACTCTCTAACCACGGGTGGAGCAAATGGTGTCCCGTGCTACTCCTTCATGGTCCTGTCATAGTAGGAAAAAATTACGTTCCGTAAGGGTCTCACGATAATGTTTTGTTGCATGCTCCCTATATTTACTTATGACAGAAGTTTGTTGTAGCTTAGTTGGTTTACGACACTGGATTTAAGTTCATGTTTGAAAGAGTGTGGGTTCGAATCCCGTGTTTAGCTAATTTCTTTTTGTCATAGCTTTTAATTTTTCTTTTGCTTTTTGAAAAATATGGAATAGAGATCGGTGAGAAGGATCGAACACGGTACCTTTCCTTAAGTTCAAGGAATAAACAATAGATTTACACAATGATTTTGTGTAAAATGGTACGATACTTATAGCTTTCGTCCTTATGGTTAAATGGTGTCACCACTTGAAAAATTCCTAGGTCACCTATGTCTCCAACCTAAGGAGCTGTACACAATACTGTAATAAATGTACCTCATGTTTATAGGCATACATATTGATTAAATAAATTAGGTTTCTTAGCCTCTGAATTCCAAGCAAACGAGCCCACTAAATTCCACTCATGGGCAGGGTGGGTGGGGTGCAGGGATGGAATGTGTGCAGACTTGTCACCTACCCCATTAAGTAGAGCGGCGAATTTAGATGCAGTTTTTTTATGTTTTATCCTGTTTAAGCTATTTTGTGCATTTCAGATCAAGACTTCACAAAAGGAGGTTGAGAGAATGCTTCAAGAACACAAGTGAGTTTCATCAATTATGCACGTCCTTCTTATAGTTTTTTAGGCATTCCTATGTTAGGAATAAACATTCTTCTGTTAGATAAAGATGCTCTTAAATCTGTGAGAAGGTCATGCATTTATATATATAGTGTTGGGTTCCAGTGAGAATGAAAGTTATGGTGAGAAGGGTAAGAAGGGATCTCCACCATGGATCAATCCTAATTGAAGAGAACCACTAGATCAACACTAATGAGATAGACCGGATCGATTCCCTTCTAAAGCGCAATTGATGGGTTGTTTTAGGCTTAAAAGTGACCAAGGGTCCAAATCCCTTCTTACACTTCTCACGTTAACTCCTATTCTTACACAATCCTTCACTTATATATAGCCATAGGTTCATTTAAGAACTGGGACAAGATGGGACAACATGGGACAAAAAAGGTTTTTTCTTGTTCCACCAAAATAGGTGGAACAAGATCGGACAAGAATGGGACAGAAACTAAAATATTACTAATCTATCTTAGTTTGATATATAACTTTAATATGGTATTTGTTTTAATGGTCATCACCGCTAGTTTCGGCCGCCACCACCTCTTCCACTACAACAACATCCTCCACCGCCTCCACAACCACCGTCCACCAAGTCTATTGCCACCTCTACCATAGTCGACCACCGTCCAGTGCCACCACCACTACCGCTGTTCGCCACCTTCAACTTCTCCTCTACTGCAATAACCTCCTCCACAACCTCCACGACCACCGTCGGCTACCACCATTCATTGCCACCTCACCTCCACCATAACCACCACCACCACTATCTTCACTACATCAACCACAACTACCTCCTCCACCGTTGTAAATTGCCACCACCACCCCAATCTACCATCTTCATGTCCTCTATAACCACTGTCGTCCACCAAGCACCACTGCCTCTACCTCCATACCATTGTCGGCCACCGACCACCATCGCCTGTTGCCACTACTACCGTCGGCCACCGACCAACACCGCCCGTTGCCACTACTACCGTCGGCCACCACCACCTCCACCATAACCAAAACCACCTCCACCACCACCACCACCACCACCACCACCACCACCACCACTACCATCAATTATCTGAATGTCATTCAAAATTGGTACAAATATGAAAATTATGTACAAAAATTTATAAATTAAATTATTTATTTTATTTGTGTCAATTATACTTATTATATAATATTTAAAATCATCAAATAACTTTTGGGGTATCTTGTCTAGTTTTGTCCCGTCCAGTCCTAGTCGTACCAAACACCAATCATACTCCTGTTTTGTCCAGTCTTGTCCCGTCCAGTCTTGTCCAGGTCTACCCTCTTGTCCTGTTCTGTCCTGTTCTGTCCTGTCCAGTCCTGTCTAATTATGTCTGCGTACCAAACTCTACCTACATGACCAAGTCTTCAACGAACAAGTTGTTAAAGTAAAGGTTATTCTCATTACGGATGAAGGAGGGAATGCCTTTGTAGGAACATCTTGACGGGTTAAACTCCATTCTTATGGATTTGAAGAATGTTGAAGATGACGATGCCGTCGTCATCTTATTGGTTTCATTGCCCACTTCATACGAAAATTTTTGTCAACTCGTTCGTTGTTGGTAGAGACAATTACAATGGAGGAAGTTCGTTCAAGTTTGCACTCACGAGAGTTGCAACATAAAGCTTCAGGAAGTAGTTCCGAAATTCAATCTGTTGGCTTGTCGATGGTAAAAGGAGATAAAGACAGAGGTAAGGAAAATGGAAGTGGAAAATAAGAGGCCGATCAAGATCGAAGACTAGAGGTCCAAGTGGAAACCCAATGGATAGCTGCCACTATTGTAAAGAACCTGGTCATTGGAAAAATGAGTGTCCAAAACTGAAGTCAAAAGGATCCACTACTGTAGGAAAAGATGATTCGTGTTCGGAGGCTGATTTGGTGCTCTCGGTGGTTGATTCCAAAAATCAGTCAGAGGTATGGATTCTCAATTCTGCATGTCCTTTTCATATGACTCCACATAATGATTGGAAATGACATGTCGTGCAATGTTGTTGGAATTGGATCAATGAGCAGTAAATTGCATGACGGGATAGTGAGAACTTTAACTGATGTTCGTCATGTACCCAGGTTGAAGAAAATATTCGACTCAAAAGGCTTCAAGTACACCGGTGAGGGTGGTGTAATTCGGGTCACTAAGAGTGCATTAGTAGTGATGAAAGGAGTCAAGAGAGGTACCTTGTATATGCCGGAAGGTAGCATGGTTGTTGGATGAGCAACACCAACCATTAATTCTGTAGATAATGAGTCATATTTGACACGTTTGTGGCACATGAGGTTAGGCATGTTAGTGAGAAAGGCATGGTAATTCTCAGCAAGAAAGGACTTCTTGGAGGTCATAGAGTTGCTGAATTGGGCTTTTGTGAGCATTGCATCTTTGGAAAACAAAGGAGAGTGAGTTTCTCAAAAGCCGTCCATACAACCAAGTCGACTTTAGATTACCTACACGCTGATTGTTGGGGGTCCCTCTCAAGTTCCTTCACTTGGTGGTGGTCATTACTTCCTCTCAATTATTGACAACTACTCTAGGATGACTTGAGTATTCGTCATGAAGCAAAAGAGAGTCATTTTGAGAAGTTTAAAGATTGAAAAGTTCTCATTGAAAATCAAGTTTGGAAGAAGAAAAAGTGGCTGCGAACGGACAACGGATTGGAGTTTTTTTTCAAGTGAGTTTGATCGGTTTTGTAAAGATGAAGGAATTGCAAGGCATTGAACGGTTAGGCACACTCCACAACAGAATGGAGTAGCCGAAAGGATGAATAAAACGCTGCTGAAAAGAGTGAGATGTGTGCTGTCAAATTTTGGGTTGAATAGATGTTTTTGGGCAGAAGCATTAAATACGGTTTGCTACTTGGTGAATAGATCCCGACAAGGGCAATTGACTGTAAAATTCCTATTGAGGTGTGGTCCGGTAAGGCGGCTGATTACACGTGTTTAAGAATATTTAGTTGTCTTTCATACTACCATGTTAGTGAAGGAAAATTGGAACCAAGATCAAAGGGGCTATTTATGGGATACGCAATTGGAGCAAAGGCTACAGAATTTGGTCTCTTCATAAAAGCAAGGTGATTCTCAGCCGTGACGTAGTGTTTGATGAGGAGAGCATGTTACGTGGGGTGAGGTGTTCATCTACTCCAAGTGTTCAAGAGGAGAGTGTGTCCGACCAGGTGAAGTACGAGTTAAATGGTCCCGATGAAGACGAGAATACTGCGGGACAGCGCAGTAACTCCCCTCAACCAGAACTTCTTGTGCCTAAACGTCAACACCAATCTGCATTTCGATCTATAGCATTAGATAAGCCCCGAAGACAAGTTGGTAGGCCAATTCAATATGGTTTTGATGACATGGTGGCCTATGCTCTGCAAGTTGCTGAAGAAATGGAGTTCTTTGAGCCATCTACTTACAAAGAAGCAATCACAATGAAGGAAGCTGATGTGTGGATAACAGCCATGAGTGAAGAGATGGAATCCCTTCACAAGAATAGAACTTGGGAGTTAGTAAAGTTACCTCAAGGCAAAAAAGTTGTGACCTGTAAGTGGATCTTTAAGTGAAAAACGGGGCTGCTAGGATTTGAAAGTGTGAGATACAAGGCACGTTTGGTGGCTAGAGGTTATAGCCAAGAGCAAGGGGTTGGTTATAATGAAATTTCTCGCCGGTGGTGCGTCATACATCCATTCGGGTGTTGTTGGCACTAGTAGCACAAGCAAATTTGGAGTTGGAACACTTGGACGTCAAAACGGCTTTCTTACATGGTGAGCTTGAAGAGGAAATCTATATGAGTCAACCGGAGGGTTTTGTAGCTCAAGGTAAATAAAACTATGTTTATAAGCTCAAGAAATCGCTTTATGGGTTAAAACAATCTCCAAGAGAGTGGTATAAACGTTTTGACAGCTTTATGGTGAGTCATGGATTTACTAGAAGCCCTTATGATTGCTGCATATATCATAAGAAAAATGTTGATGGGTCACATGTGTATCTGCTACTTTATGTGGACGATATGTTAGTAGCGGCTCGTGATATGACTGAAATTAAGAAGTTAAAAAGACTCCTTAATTCTGAATTTGACATGAAAGATTCGGGGGCTACTCGAAAGATTCTCGATATGGAGATTATCCGAGATAGATCTAGACGTAAACTTTTCTTGTAATAGAAAAGTTGCATTTTGAAGATACTTTCTCGATTTGGTATGGCTTCTGCAAAGCCTGTGAGCACACCTTCATAGGCAAATTTCAGATTATCAATGGCTTTGGCACCTCAAACCAAGGCTGAGGTGGAGCATATGAGCAAAGTTCCTTATTCTAATGCTGTAGGAAGTCTTATGTATGTCATGTTCTGCACTAGACATGACATAGCTCATGCTGTAGGAAGTCTTATGTATGTCATGTTCTGCACTAGACCTGATATAGCTCATGTTGTTGG